GTAGAAAACAGTTCTGAATCTTTTTGTACTACTTTTAGCAGGGGACATGATTTTACGGTAAGGAAGCCAAGACAGTTTGTATTATGTGATTAGAAGGAATTGGCTCATGAGATTGTGAAGGCTGCTGGCAAGTCCCAAGATTTGCAGGGTGAGTCAGCAAGCTGGGGACCTCAGAGATCTGATGGTGTAGTTTCAGTCCAAAGACTGGCAGGCTTTCGAGACTTGAGACTCGGGAAGAGCAGATGTTTCAGTTCAAAGGCAGTCAGGCAGGAAGAATTCTTCCTCTGGGGAGGGTCAGCTTTTTTGTTCTATTCAAGCCTTCAGCTGGTTGGATGAGGCCCACTCAACATTAGGGAAGACAATCTGCTTTAGTCTATCAATTTAAATGTTAATCTCATCTAAAAACACCCTCATGGAAACAATTAGAATAACATTTGACCCAATATCTGGGCAGTCTGTGGTTTGGTCAAGTAGACATACATAACTAACCATCACAGAGGCCCACAGAAAATTATTTCTTCGAGTAGCAGAGCAGGGATTTTAATATGTCTGATTTAAAGGGCTATAATTGTTGTGTCAGGGCACACGCTGCCTCCAAAGAAGTAATAAATGCAATTAGAAAGCCTTCCAGGTTGACAAACTTCAAAACTTTGTCTTTTTCATAGAAGCTTTCCCCAAAAAAGCACATTCCTAAAGCAATGTTCACAGATTTTAAATATTCTAAGTACCATAATTTTCCCCCAATTATAATGCATCATGTGCATACTGTCCTAAAACAAGCTGATTTGGGTAGTAGGATTTGTTGGTTTTTATACTAGAAGTTTAGGCATGTTTAAGTATTGATTAGACTAAATTATATAGCTAATCTTGTCAGGGTAAGATAGCTACTTAGTAAATTTTCCTAATAAGCATGTCCAAAGGTATATATACTGGATGTAAAGGAGCAAATTTGAAAAAAGGAAAGATAAGCAGGACTTGGGGGTAGAACAAGACAGAAATATTGACTTTTGGGGGATTACCATTGTATCCTTTTAAAATTACATTCAAATCTCTTACTAATTAAAACAAGTCTTTATTGAGTACCTGCTATGTGCTTATAATTGTTCTGGGTACTGGGTATATTGTAATGATTAAAATTTGAAAATTTTCCTTCTCAGGGGTTCAAAAAAAAGTGAGTCAGGTAGCATGACCAAGGACTTTGACAAACAAGATGACAAAAGCATAAGGAGTAACAAAGCCATAAACTGCAAACTGCTGTAAGTGACCAGCCTCTTGGGGGTACAAAGGTACTAGAGGAACAGGGACTTGAGTGCATACACAGGATGGCAATGTTTTGAGAAATTTAATTTATGGTTTAATATTTTTATTATCAGAGAATCTACACTAGGTGGCATCCAGGGTCAGAATGGAAGCGGTAACCAGCAATGGAAAATCAATGTATTTTAGCTTCTGTGCTAGAAGCAACTTCCCAGGGGATCCTAGAAGAAATAGTATTAAAAAAGAACTGGTTGCTTAAGTGATGATCAAAATGCTCTCCATTTGAAGAGACATAGAGATGAAGAGATCCGGGAAAGGGTCATGTGATGACTACAGGGCAACTCCAAGTTGGGAAGATGAAGGCTGAGGAATTTTAAAAGTATAAAATAATGGTATTAAAGTGAATACACAGCCTTCTTGTCTAGAATGAAGCAAGCCTGTATCAAGAAAGTTTCGGGGGCACCTGGGTGGCTCAGTGGTTTAAAGCCTCTGCCTTCGGCTCAGGTTATGATCCCAGGGTCCTGGGATCGAGCCCCACATCCGGCTCTCTGCTAGGCAGGGAGCCTGCTTCCCTTCCTCTCTCTCTGTCTCCCTCTCTGCCTACTTGTGATCTCTCTCTCTGTCAAATAAATAAATAAAATCTTAAAAAAAAAGTTTCGGATAAAGAAAAAGGATTTCTGTGCAGATGGAGTACATAAATGAAACTCTTTCATGGTTGGGAGATTTTGAAATATAACAGAGATTTAGCTAAGTGTAATGGATGATAGGGCTGTTAAGAGACATAATCTCTCTTGTCTATCTTGAATATGGAGTTAGATCAGCCACTCACTGCCTAACCCAATAATGAAAATGTTAGTAGACAGGATTACCAGCAGAAGAAATAATTTATCCCCTAGTAATGAGCATGTAGGCAGGTGGGCAATATTCACAATTATTTTAAACATAAGGCTGGAAATCTATACAACTCTATACTTACTAATGAAAACAACTTTTGAACTCAGGAAAACCAGGTCTTAACAGAAATTGACAAGAAATAGTCTATCCTCACAGGTAACAGGGGTGGCTGAAAAACATTTAGTTTACACAATGTCTGGCTGACATTCTGAGCTTGGCATTCTACTCTTCATGTTTGAGGCTGTACTGCCTTTTTGTTATTCAGATTTTAGGGGTAATACCATATCGATACCCCTAATCTATAATCCTAACTATATTCACCAATTTATTGATTAAAATTTTATTCCGTCTTTCCCCTTTGTCGTAATTCCTGGCAACGTTAGTTAACTTATACCATTCTTTTGTTTATGAAATACTTAAGTCCACAAAAATATAGACTTTTCTCAGGAAAGGCATATACCCAATTAACGATCCTTCCTAAATTTCTGTGTTGTATATTTTAATGCTTTAAATAAAGGATTAAGAAGGATAGCCATTATTCTTAGTTTGGACCCATTCCATGATGGTACATCTGAATGGAAATAATAATAATTTCTTGGGGTGCCTGGTTGGCTCAGTCGGTTGAGCATCTGCCTTGGGTTTAGGTCATGATCCCAGGGTCCTGGGATCCAGCCCCAGTGTCAGACTCCCTGCTCAGCGGGGAGCCTGCTTCTGCCTGCCATTCTGCCTGCTTGTGCTCTCTGTCAAATAAATAAAATAAAATCTTAGGAAAAATTTCGTTCTTTAAAAAAATTGATTTCTTATACATTTACTTTGCATGAAACCTCAACACATTGTAATCACATGTGAAAATTTTCAAATATATAAATTATCAAAATGAATAAAATTATATTGTTTTAATACCCTAATAAAACAGTAAGTCCCAGAACTTTAGATAGGATCATGGGTTAGTGTTTCCCAGGCTTCCAGATTTCATGTAGTTAAAAAAAAAAAAGTGGGGACCAATACAGAGCTGTCAACTTTTTATTTTGCCAAGTAAGGATACTTTAAAGCAACTAATAATACTATCAACATTTCATAAAAGGATATTTCAATACCACAAAAGTTGGAATCATCTTATAATAAGAATTAAATTCAAGCTGATTACCTATCAGCCTTTTACTTTTTTTTCCCCTTCTGGATGCTGAAAATTTAGGGTTGTCCTAAAATTTGCAAATAAATTGCCTAAAATGCCATTTTCTCCAACCATTTTAAATAGAGGCTGAGAGGTGAGTGGCTTTGCCTGAAATCAGCTTGTGTTAAACTCAGAGAGGAAGCATAGCTTCTGACAACTAGTAGATAATACACTCTCACAGAAACATAATCACTTAACATGTTGCTAATTAGGAACCTTAATCAATGTGTATCTTAAAACCAAACCAAACCCAAATCCTTCATAACTAATGAAAATTCAAATCCACTTACTTTGTAGTATAAAGACTTGTTATACACAGCCATACGTATAATTTAAGGAAAACCCCAAATCATAAATTATCATAATGTAACCTACATCATAAATGATATAATCTTATCTGTAAGCTTTTAATTATCCAAAAGGTTTCATTATCAAGTACATGGTCTATGGAATATGCTTAATAAATGTCTGTTGTACTAACAGAGGAGTGTCACTTTCAATCACTGCAAAACAAGATTCTTCCTAACATTAGAAACTCTCAACTTAGCATGGAATCCTATTTTGGAAATCACTGGAACATTAATATATAGAAAAAAAAAGATAGTGGTGGTGTTGGGGAACCCAATTTGCCTGATTTCTCAAAAAAAAAAAAAAAAAGCAATCAGATACTTCGTGGTGCTTAAATGAGAACAGTATTTGCACACAATGACTTTTGTGTAAAAACATCACATTAATTTAACCACACCCACTTAATTTTTTTAGGTTAAGTAACAGGAAAGTTTTAATATTCTAAAGGAATTCTAGTTCAAGAGCATGAAACAAAATTTTAACATGACCCTGAGGATACATTTATCTCATTATTTTGGACTAACAAAATTCTACAGTAGATCTGCATTTCAATTAGGCAATCACCTCTAATTCCACCATAAACAAACACATAATCTTATTCCTTTGAAAAATAGTTTTGAGAATTGGCACTAATTTCCTCCCCGCCCCTCACTAGCTATAAAAATGCATGACCAATAGTGTAATTTCAAATTTCAAATTAAATTACAGTTTAGTCTGTTAAAGGGATGTCCCTTTATCAGAAACCAGGAGTTCATGGATTTTTTTTCCTTAAAACAATCAACCTTTAAAAGCATGATGCTTCTTTTGCAGACCCACTCATACTTACTTAAAACAGGAGGCAGAGGTACGGAAAGAAATTCACCTTAAGAAACTGATAGGCAGAATCAGGGTTTGTAGTATTTTAGATTGTGTATTCAAGATGTGTCTTAAAGACACATCCATATTAAGTCATATAGGCTGCTTAATATCAGTATACACAATTCTGGTAAAAACTTTACCTACTCTAATACACAAAACTGTACATTTAAAAAAATAACACTGATCGTACATGAAATATAGGAATGCTGATATTTGGTTTGATTCCTATGACTTCCATGGTAATTCTGGATTTTACCACATAGAAACTTGTTATTGACTACTACTGAGAATTCAAGTAGACTAAAAGAAATAAGAATATTTTTGTTACCATTGTCAAGTTGTTTGTATTACATATATATTCTGTCCTGGCTTTTCCTTCTAATCCATAAAACCCAAAGAACTAATCTCTAAAAATCCACCCGTTAACTACTCCTGTCTTAATATTTTTATTGCTCCTAATTATTTTCAGTTTTTTTTTTTTTTTTCTGAATCAGGAATGAATGCAATATTTCTGAGTCTTTGAGAAATATTAAACAAAAACTTGTCTTCAAATTTCTGCTTTTAAGATCATGTAATTTAAGAGAATGTAGTTGTTTTACTCCCCCAAGTTTCTTTACTAGAAATATGCATGTGCCTGATTTTGGAGAGTGGGAAATAAAATCTACCTGTGCCTTTGATCTAGCTTTGTGACTACTATTTCTGTCATGGATGTGTGGCTCTCTGTTCAAGAGGCTTGACATCATGTGTTCCAAATCTTTCAATGTTCCTGCTACAAGTGCCACTTCTTGGAATAGAACCCTGGAACATTAACATTTTAAGACCTTCTTCATGACTACTTTAAATCTAATATCACTTTGATCTAAATTTCCAGTATTGGTTCCTTTCATGGGTCAATTAAATACTCATGAAAATGAATAAAGAAGCTACTGTGCCCTTTTATTTTAGGTCCGGTCCACTTATAATTAAGCAGAGTAACATTCCAAGTTCATTTTGATTAAAAACTATGAAAATATAGAAGTTATATTTTCTCAGTGTCATCATCTCTGTCAAGTAGAGAATCATGGTCGTAACAGGTTTTTCCTATATTAAGAGATTAATATACCTTAATCACACCCAATTTACTTTCTAGGTTAACTAAGTAATATTAAAAGGTGGTAATTTTCTTTGAAACTTCTAAGTACAACCTGCATATACAGGATTTTGACAATAATTTAATAGTAACTTTAATACAGAACTATATTCTAATATAATTACTTTAAACATAAAGAAACGGATCCTTACAAGACCAAAATAACCCACAAGCCATGAAATTGGTTTTTACTTTTTCCTTTTTTTGTTTAAACAAATGTACACCACAATGGTTCAACAAGTAAGGCAAATGCCATGAATATGAAAGCTGCAGTTTCCAACAGACAACATCTAGGACCCAGGGGAGGTGAATTAGACAGAAGTCGTAGTCATTCTAATTAAACAATCAGAAAACATCATGACAAGTTTGTTTGCAGTGTCAAAACTGTCTATTTAAGTTTCCTTTCTCTTAATGATCAGAGGTCCCACGTTGTCTCCAGTCTCTTCATTGTGTTTTGTGTGAGATCCATCGCAGAATGGGAACTAGAAAGAGAGAGAATGTCAATGGCTAATTGCAAAATCACTATTAGTTTAGCAGAGTGGGGGTGATGCTTATATATATATAACACACGTCAACTCTCAATAAAAAGATTTTCTTAGCCCACCTTATATAGGTGTTCTTAAAGAGCATATTTGAAGTATAAACACCAAGCAGAAGGAAGAAATCAACTTGTGGATAATACAGATGATTAACTGCATTTCCATTTGTGGTATTTGTTCATGGATGCGGAGTATCTTTTCCGTGTTTATATGTTACAGTTACAATTCCCCATCTAGTGAACTGTGTCCATTTAGAGCCTAAGTTCATTTGTTTAGAATCAATTTGTGTGTTATCCCTTTGCTGATCATCTTTGCAGCAATTTTCCCCAAACCTTTTTGCTAATTTTTTCATGTTACTTTCCTATTAGTTTCATACAAACATGCCAGTATTTCCCTTTTTAACATTCTTCATGGAGACATCTTTCTCCTAGAGTAAATTTCTTTACATGATTTCACATTTTAAATATAACTGACATTTTGGGATTCAGTGGTAGAAAAGTGACAGAAGTAAATTTCTTTTAATTAATTATTTTGACAAAGAAAGATAGCAAGAGCAGGAACACAAGCAGGGGGAGTAGGAGAGGAAGAAGCAGACTCCCCACTGGGCAGGGAGCCCGATGTGGGGCTAGATCCCAGGACCCTGGGATCATTACCTGATCCAAAGGCAGACACTTAACCCACTTAGTCACCCAAGCACCCCATAAGTAAATTTTTTTTTTTTAAAGATTTTATTTTTATTTATTTGACAGAGAGAGACACAGCAAGAAAGGGAACAGAAGCACCGGGAGTGGATGAGGGAGAAGCAGGCTTCCCTCTGAGCAGGGAGTCAGATGGGGGGCTCAATCCCAGGACCCTGGGATCATGACCTGAGCTGAAGGCAGACACTTAATGACTGAGTCACCCAGGCACCCCCAGAAGTAAATTTCTAACAGTGCCTGTCAGAGTGTGCTCCAAATAAGTCCTAAAAGATGTTCTGATTTGGTTTCATTATGTTTTAAAAAACATATAATTCTCTTGATTTGTAGCATACATTATTATTTAAAAGAAGTCCTGCTATTAAAAAATACTATTTTAGCTCAAAATTTCCCAGGCTGACTGAACCGTGGATGCTTTTTGTTGTTGTTGTTGGAAGATTTTATTTATTTATGTGACAGAGAGAGAGAGATCACAAATAGGCAGAAAGGCAGGCAGGGGGTTGGTGGGGGGGGGGGCGGGGAAGCAGGTTTCCCGCTGAGCAGAGAGCCGGATGGCAGGGCTCAATCCCAGGACCCTGAGATCATGACCTGAGCCGAAGGTAGAGGCTTAACTCACTGAGCCACCCAGACGCCCCTGCCATGGACACTTTTAACTCTGATATCTATTATCATAGTGTTCTACAGAACACACTTTACAAAATGATGTGCTAAGATCCTGTTGCTTCAATATTATTAGAGTTTGTACAATTGTTACACCTTTATTCCTAATTTTACAAAGTAAGTTCTACCTGTAAAAATGCCTATTTATAGGTTCTACACTATCATATTCATCAATCTACTCTACTGGGATAATAACGATGTTTAAAATATGCTTCAATATTTGGTAGAGCTGGGTTTCCTTCAAATTATTCTTGTTAGACTTTTCTTATTTATTTTCTACCTACCTTTATTAAACTTTACCAATTTTTCTTCCAGATAAACCTGAGAATTTTTTTTTGCCAAGTACTATTTAATTTCTCTTGGAATCCTCAGCTTCAGGTCTCATGCATACTCTGATAACATTATTTCTGTCTTACATATTTTATAGTTATCATAATTAGGTATATTTTCATACCTAACTACTTATGTTATATATTATCAACAGTTTTTGCAGGTATAGCCTTCCTACTGTTAAATGACAAAAATAGGAATTCAACAATGTTTTACGTGTCTCCTCAGGATTTTACACTTAGAAGGTCCAATTACTAGTAAATTACTTTTTTCTTTCCTTCTGTATTTATACCTTTTATTTCTATTTCACATTAAATAATGATAGCTAGCATCTTCGTTTTATTCTTGATGTCTGAAGTGTACCTAATATTCTAGAATCTAGAGTCACTGTTTGGTTTAAGGTACACTATTGCATTGAAGAGGCCAATTTAGAAGACTAAAGTAACAGGAATCTTAGCCTTAAGATTAAAATTGCCTCATTACTCACAGTGGAGGCACTATAATTTTAGATACCTGAAAACAGACAATAAGGGTATATAATCTTCAACTTTGACATTAGAAGTGTCTAAGATTAAAATATTATGTTAAAGAAATTCAATTTTAATTTTACTATTTGTATATAATTCAAAGATACAGTAAATTAGTTAAAATTTACAGCAAAAGTCAAGGTACGAGCATATCTAATATTTCCAAGTAAAAATTCTATCTTGGGGTGGCTGGCAACATCAATGCAATGTATGTAAAGCTTTCTTTTCCTCTTTCCTTTCTCCTTCCCTCTCCTCCTCTTTTCCTCTTTCTTTCCTCAATAGGATATGGTACACAGTATATTCCTGTTAAAAACAAGTCCTTACAACAAAAACAATCAATCTAAGCTCTCAGTTTTTTCTTGGCATAGATAAGAGGCCATAACAATCCACAAAAATCAAACTAAAATGTACCCTATAGCAGAGATCAGCATTTCAAGGTGACATATGTTTAATAAACAAACACAGATGATTTTACAGTAATACAAATTTACATTGTAAAAGACTCCATTTTTTATAAACAGCACACATAAAACATGTTACTGAACAGTTTTACATATACAGATTATAAAATGTATTTCTAAAATATAAAGTATTTAAAATAGAAAAGCCTTAAATAACTTACTGAAATAGCATGGTTCTTTCTTTTTGAATCTCATTTTGAAAATACTAAAAAATTCTAGAAAAATAATACATGTTCAAAAATTATTTCTCTCTCTATATAGAATCAAGAACAGGAGAGAAATCTACAGAGAAATATACAAAGAACATCTTATAAAAGGTTAAGAAAGCTATATATCTAAGATGAGAATATACTTTTTATATGATAATCTAGGTATGCCTAAAAACAGACATTTGTCTGTTTCCTGTTTTAAAAGAAAAAATATTTCTTTAAAAAGCAGTGAACAGGGGCACCTGGGTGGCTCAGTGGGTTAAAGCCTCTGCTTTCGGCTCAGGTCATGATCCCAGGGTCCTGGGATCGAGCCCCACATTGGGCTCTTTGCTTCCTCCTCTTTCTCTGCCTGCCTCTCTGCCTACTTGTGATCTCTGTCAAATAAATAAAATATTAAAAAAAAAAAAAGCAGCGAACAGTAGATTCTGGCTATTTGTTCAAAAAACTTTCATGCTTTCATAATATATAAAGCTTTTATGACTTTAAAATGTAAACTAAGCATTAAAAATCATTTTGTTCAGAGACACAGATATCTTTTAATAGTACTTTATTAATCTCAGGAATTACTCACTTTGGGCAGAATCTTCTCCCAAACTTCATGTGAAGATTAGGTATTTTCATACTTACTCATCAGAGTTTTTTCACTTTAAGTTAATGAAAAAAAACTAAACTTTTTTTTTTCCCCCCAACCAGGACCAAGATGAGTTACTACAGGACTGGATTAACAATTTCTTAAGAATACACTGTACATATAAATGGGATATACTTATTGAAATTAATTCATGATTCTCAATATGAATGTCAATTACTTGGCATTAAAATTCAAATGGTAAATTATATAACAATATTTATGTTTTTCAGGAAGTGTCTTGTTCTATTTTTTAACTTTTCTATGCTAGAGAAAGAAAATATGTGTATACTTTCAAATGTAATCTAGGAAGTATAGTAGTTTTTGTATTAATGCAATTATATATCAAAAACAAAAAATACCCTTTCATCGAAGATTTGAAATTTGTTAAACAGTCAAGCAAAGAGATAAAATAACAAAAAAACCCACAAAGGGTATATTTAATTCACGTAGTCATCAATATTTAAAAGTAAAACCTAAATAACCGATGGAAAAAACTTTAGCTCATGAGTGATTCTGAAATCTGTTCTAACATGCCAGTGTTTGTTATTAACAAATTCTGGAGAAAAGCTTGCAAATTAAATTGGCTGAACTTCCTGTATGTCCAGACAATATCATTTATTTGTTAACCCAATTAGTAAACTACAAATCCCACATATTTTTAAAATTAGAGAAGAGAGGACTTAGAGATGAGGCTTAAAAAATGATTAGGGTCAACAAAAAAAGACCTAGAGATTCTTGCTTTTCATTTGGAAAGCTAGCAACATCATCAGTCTTCATAAAATAGACAAGATTTGCTTCTTTTTAAAGGCTTTAATCTCAAGTTACGATGTTTCTGGTTTTTGGGTATTTCAAGATAAAAATAAATAGAAGATCCTCACCTTTTATATCTGCAACAATTAAAAAAATTATTTTCCTTCTCCAAACTTTGTACTTTTAATGAGTTTGGAACTGTATTTCCCAAGGAAGTTGCCGGGGGCCATTTTGACTAACATAAACTCTGAGAAATAGTCTTGCTTTGGTTGAGAAAGAAAAGCAGTAAGATCTGACATTATCTGAGAAATATGACATTTTATTCCATTCTTAGGGACTTACTTTAAGTAAAATGTAAGATAGAAGTAAAATATATTAAGAGAAATTAAGATTTTATAAGACTATCCTTATGTGGATTGGTCAAGCTATGTAACCATCACTCAAAATTTTGTTTCAGACTCAACGCACTCTCTTCCAAACCATTAACAGGCTGGAGACTTCTGTAACGCACAGACACACAGACATACACACACACACACACAACCTAAAACAAAAACAAGCACACCACTAACAAAAAATTAAAATCCCAAAGTTGTAAATGAAACAAAATGATTCTACACAGTATGTTCAGTTGCATTTCAACTTCATTTGAGTTCCTTACAGTAACTGGCACGTCTTTCCTCTATTCTTATTTCTTAGTGTGTGTGCATCCATCTACTGTCCTTGTTCAAACTCTCCTCCCTCCTAGATGGCCAAAATACAACTCAGGTGAGTGGGGGTAGGGTGGCAATCTAGCAAGACTATGTTGCATACTCTTCCCTCTAACATTAAAGTTCTCTCACTTTCTTATTTCTAAAATAAAGCTCTCTCTTCCTTCCTGAGTTTCACATTTGAGCTCCCACTCTCATTTTCCACCTCTTTCAAGACAGCACTGTCTCAAATACTATCTTTCCCGCAGTCACTTCTCTATTGCCTCCTTTCTTTCTCCTGTCACATATGGATAGCCCTTTTGTGAAATACGGTGAAATAACATGTTTCTGAAACAGCAGACGGCATACCAATCCTTGGAAGGAGGGGGGAGAGGACAAACAAGGCATATTTAAAAATGTAATTTCTGCACACTGCTAAGAGATGATTCATTAGGCCTGAGAAAACCACTCAAAAATGTTAAACCCACACAATGGGCTACTAGTGATTGTACCTTAAGAATGAATTAGAACAGAATTAAAGATTCTATCATACTAACTTTTTTGAGATAAGTAGAAAGGTGTTTTCATTTTGTTGCATTATAAACACAACTGGTTTATATGAAAAAAAAAAAAAAATTACTGATTATGAACTCAATACAGCCAAAGGTATTAAAGTCTTTTGTACACTGTTAGGGAAATGTGTGAGTTGGCACCTCTGTGATAACCTTACATACCTCCAGAATGGGGAAATTTCCAAAGATATCAGAAGAATAAGAACATCAATTAACAAGAATAAAATTCAAAGTGAGTTCTTAATTGATTCATGTGGGAATAAAAAGTTCCTAAGATTCAGTGAAAATTCAGAACTGACAAATATTAGATGCAAAGAGGATCACTAACAGCATAAAAGATAAGCTTTAAAAAAAAGAGAAAATGGGATAATTGGTCTGTCATTCCTTTCCTTGATGTCTATTTATGGGAAATGACCATCTCTGGTTTAAGAATCTGGAAACTGTGTGATGAAAAAATAATCCCAGAATGTTTTGTTGAATTATAAAGTCTAATAAACATTTAAACCAGTAGCTTGTGTCCATTTATGATTCTTCCTGATACACTTAAGATCTTAGTCCTCATACGTTCCTATTTGCTTTATTGACCCTTTCTTTACCCTCTGGGAAAATCCAACCAAGGCAAACACCCCTTACTTGACCCCAAATCTATGCTTTAGATTTCACTCAAGCAGTCATCTTTCTTTTCCTTTCTACTTACTACGATAGTTACTGAAATTTTAACATATACTCAGACTCCTAGCATTTCATTTTTAGTTTTTCGTAATTTGCACATTAACCCACTTAGACACAGCTTCTATTCTAATTATTCTGTTGAAATGACACCAAAAGGTCAATTGCCTAATTGTTTAATGCAACTCATACTATAATATTGACCTAGTTGTCTTTACACAAGCCTATGTTCATAGCCAAGTCTTAATATCATGGCTTCATAATGGAAAGGAGAAAGTTGCAGTTTTCTTCTGACTCTGGCCCATTTCATCTCCTTTTTTGGCTCTTATTCCTCTTTCCAAAATGCAAAAAATTCCCCAAGATTTCATGCTTGATTTTTATCTGCATCACGGATCTTCTTAAGCATTCTTAATGCTTAAACATAAGCATTCTTAATGCTTAAACATAAGCA